TATTGATTGGTTTTTGAGAGTTATATCATGCATGGTTTTGAATAAATTCCCTTTTTATTCTTCTTATCTAAAATGTTTATAAAAATGCCGATCCTCAGAGATAAAGGCTGATTCTTGTATCGCACCAATAGAAACCTCCTCTGGTGTGGAATGTGTTCCCACAGCAGTGACTCACTCAGCAGAGTTGGCCAGGGTTTTTCTTTTAAGGATTCACTTCCTCCTCTGTGGCTTCATATGCAGCTCACGCTGTGAGGAGCACCTGGCAGGACACTCAGGGATGCCATTATTCATAATGTTTCTTGTCTGTTGCAGCTCCCCAGGCAGTGCAAGACAACCCAGCTAAGCTTGCATTCCCAGGACCAGGAGGGAGCCTCAAGCTTTGCCCCCCAGACATAGCACAAAAGATATGGAATGAAAAGTCAGCAGAGGTGCTGTGCTCAGAAAACAGGATCCGGGTGAAAGAAAAACTGGAAACTCTTTGAAAGGGCAGTGGAGCTTTCTTAGAGCCAATTTCCTAGAGAAGTTCTAGAAAATCATCCTGCTGCTTCCCTTACATAAAGGGTTCCTATCTCCTAGAATCCCAGGTTTGGGTATTGAGTTCTAAGTTTGATACAGCTCCCTGAATAAATACTTATAATAACAACAAAGGCATCCATTGGATGCTTACTATGAATCAGATACTGTTCTAACCAAGTTGCAGAGTTGAGAAAACATATTTGAATAACACCTTGACCCTAAAAATAGCCCATGTTATAGATCAGGAAATTGTGCATTGGGTGATAAAATATTTCGGCAAAAACAATAAGCTGAGGAGTCAGTTTTAAAATTCTGTCATTCTTGCCTCAAAGCCTGTTCTTCTCTTAAATACGAACTCAAAAAAAAAAAAAATTAAATCCTTACCAGTTGTTATCTGGGCATTTTTAAGTTCTATTTCAACTCCTATAGTAAGATTAATTTGCCTTTCCTGTAACCATGGTTCATGATATTTGTTTTCTGGGTAGAACTAGAGTGGGAGAAACAGTCTTATATCTTCAAGATGAATATTTAATTAAAGGGAACAGGACCATAATGCAATTTGCATTTCCGACAGATTTACCCAATCATGAAAAAGTCTACTCGGACACGTCTTGCCCTCATTATCTGCAACACAGAGTTTGACAAGCTTTCCAGGAGAGCTGGAGCTGATGCTGATATCAGAGGTATGAAGATGCTGCTAGAAGATCTGGGATACACCGTGGTTGTTAAAGAAGATCTCACTGCTTCGGTAAGGTCTTCCAGAATGTAGGGACAATGATCACACCCTTCATTTTACTAAATAGCTTTTGGTTGTAGCACCAGAAACTTAATTTCTCGATAATATAAAAGTTAAATTTGCCCTTGGAGGGTGCTTCTCATCCCTCTTAACAAAGAGTCTTTTAGCAAAAGTCTAGTGAAACTTCCATTTGGAAATTGTTCTGTAAACAATAATACCCTTTCCTCTCTACTAGAAATTCCCAAATGGCATTCTATAACCCTATGTCATCTTTTTTTTAATTGAAACTCAAATTATCTTTTGTACCCCATTAATTTTTGTATATTTCCCAGGAATTCCTTAAGTGCCTTTTTATTGAATTCCCCAGGCGCTCTGTTAATGGATCTCCTAGTCCAGAATTAATGGCATGGTCTCTTTCCAGGACATGAAGGCAGAGCTGAGGGCCTTCGCTGCCCGCGAGGAGCACGAGACCTCTGACAGCACGTTTCTGGTGTTCATGTCCCACGGTATTCGAGAAGGCATTTGTGGGAAGAAACACTCTAAGGAAGTCTCCGATGTATTAGACATCGACACCATCTTTCAAAGTTTGAACACTTATAAGTGTCCAAGTTTGAAGGACAAACCCAAAGTGATCATTATCCAGGCCTGCCGTGGTGGTGAGTGCTGATGTCTGTTAGAACACAAGATATGCAAGTGTTGACCTCATCATTTCCATCCATGTTTTGTGCCTGTTCCTTAATGTCAAATAATACCTACTGTCACCAAACAAAACTGTAGCTTCTGTGAGTTGTATGAATGGTTAGTAGATATTTATTCTATTTTCAACTAAAGAGATACCACTTTTAGTCTCAAGACTTTGATGTTTTAGTGTCATTAGAATTCATTTAGGGTTCATAGAAATAAAGGTTGTTAAGAAGATAGTTCCTGGGATATATGTGTGTACACGTACATGAATGAAAGACAGCCACAAATAAATTAGTAAATATAGTTGGACAGAGGCTTAAGGGAGAAAATGAATCTTTTGGCTGTTGGTAGTAACAAGATGTCAAATCTTGTCTTTCTAGAGAACGAAGGAGTGGTGTGGTTAAAAGATTCAGCAAAAGGTTCTGAAGACGACTTCTCATTGGCTCCAGAAGATTTTGAATATGATGCCACTAAGAAAGCCCATATAGAGAAGGATTTTATTGCTTTCTGCTCTTCAACACCAGGTAATGAGTGTCTGTATAGGACACCTTTGTGGGCGTTGCCAATACAGACACACACACACACACACACACACACACACACACACACACACACTCTGTAGAGAATGGATATCTGTTGAACTTTCTATGACCCTTCTGAAGAACAACTAAAGCAGTCCTCCTAGTTTAAATCTCCAATTATCCTTACCCACAGAGATCCACATATATTTTCACTAAATTAGTAATTAGTAAACTCCCATGGTGCAAACATAGTTCCCTGGAACTGCTTGGGATCCGTTGAGAAATATCTACACTGGAAGTAGATCAGAAGCTGACTCCACTTAGGGAAGGTTTACAAAGTTGGGATCAATCAGCAGTTCATTTTGCCTAGACATCAGCATGTATTTATAGAAAAGTAGTATTTATAGGGGCAGAGAGAGAGATAAAAAAAAAGCAGAAAAGGCATATTGAACCTCTAAGTTAAATTGTTTTCAACTAGAACTATAGAGTGGATGAAAAAGAAAAAAACCATAATGATTTCTAAATCTAGGCTATGGATTAAGAATACTGCCAATTATAATCTGACCCTGCCATTTAGTATTTTGTAAAATAGTCCTAGTGATTTAGCCTCTCTGGGCTTTATTTGAATTCTTCACTGATCAATATCATAATATCTATATTATGTTTTGAAATTTCTTGAAATTCACATTTTGTGTGTGTGTGTTGACCATGTCTTAATGTAGAAATCCATCATTTTTTCCCCAAATATCAAGACAGTGATGCTGGGCAAAATCAGCCTTATGAAAGAGAAATATTTATATTTCTAGCTTGAGTGTATTGAGCAGATTTTAGTATTAGACATAAATTTTCTTTAAAACCATTTATTCCAGCCGTCTAAAAAGATTTACCTCTAGCTATATAGTCTTTTGTTGACCTCCTGGCTTCTCAAAATCTGTCTTGCTGAGTTCTTTCTCCCTTTCTTTTACTTTCCTCACCCCTCCATTGCAGTTGACACTTAAAAACATCAACTCTGTTATCTTCAGTTAGTTATATTCCACTAGCAAACTTAGCTTCACTTTCTCTGGTGTTAATTGCAAGCACATTGTGGTGCTCTTCTGAACACATGGGGCCATTTACTCCCTTAATTTCACAAGGAAAGTGTGGAGATTTCTGCCTCCATCCCCTTCTTTTAATAGGAACTAGCTTCATAAAACAGCTGTGGCTTAAAATAGAATTTTAACCTATTACTATTACATGTCTTATTACCAATATTATTGGCTAAAAGGTTTTGTTAAAGCTTGTGTCCATGGTTATATACAGAGCTATACCACTTTTCTCTTATATGTTTAACTTTTAAAATTTTAAAATGGCTCAGGGATTTCTATGTGTCTACTATTTATATAATTAATATAATTCTTCAATATTTCTCTTTCATAAGGCTGTTTTGTCCTCCAGTATAATATGATCTTTCTCTCTTACTCCTTTTTTAGGTTTTTACTTCTTTTATATTGGTAGCATTCTCATATTCAGTTAACATTTTCTTTGCACAAATACCTTATGATCAATAGTATTTAATTTTAATTAAATTATTTACAAGGTCGATATATGAAATTTTATTAGTATAATTACCCAGTATGGACTGGGTATAACACATCCTATATTCTCCTAGACACTTATAATACATTATATCTAATCTTTCATTATATCTAATATATTTTTGTGGTGGAAAATTTTACCCTCCCTACCCTTTATAGTCAAGGCCATTGCATTTCAGAGTGTATAAATAAATTAGAGTCAGTAAAAAAAATACTCTTCGGATCCACATTCAGGTATTTCTTCCCTAAGGTCCAATCACTTCCCTCTATGTCATTCTCCCCTCCCCTCCGTTTCTACTAGATTTATAGATATGTGAACCCTAAGATATTTCCAACCTAAAATCTGCCCTATCTATGGCATCCTTCATATGGCATTAACAATTGTCAAGTATCAGTAAAAATATACTCATTACACATTGGATATATCACTAAATGATGGCAAACAGTGTATAGAAAACCGCACAAATTCAACAGGCTTCCTCAGCTAGAGGGGAAATCCTAGCATTGCATCTTTTTGGCCAGACAAGAACTTTGCATGAGATTTGGAATGTGCTTTATTCACAGATAATGTTTCCTGGAGACATAAAAAACGGGGTTCTTATTTTATTATTAAACTTATCAAAAATTTGCAAGAATATGCCTGGTCCTGCGACATAGAGGAAATTTTCCGAAAGGTAAGGCTCTAGATCAGTGGTTCTCAACCTTCCTAATGCCGCGACCCTTTAATACAGTTCCTCATGTTGTGGTGACCCCCAATTTCATTGTTACAAATTGAACATCATTATAGCATAGTGATTAATCACAAAAACAATATGTAATTATATATGTGTTTTTCCGATGGTCTTAGGCGACCCCTGTGAAAGGGTTATTCGACCCCCAAAGGGTTGCGACCCACAGGTTGAGAACCGCTGCTCTAGATGTTTCTCATACTCTGTTTCCCTGGATACTTGACTATCCCAGATGGAAACCTAGGGAGCAACTCTGGACAGGCTTATCTCTCAGAAATGCCCTTCTTTCCAAATGAGCTTTGAGTTTCTTCACTGAGTCAGCAACCCTGAAAGGCAGATCCCATCTGCTATGATCTAGAAATCAACACCCAGAAAATAATACTTTATTTTAACTCCCCCTGAACCCTAAGGAGACAAACAAGTGGACTCCAATTTCCCTGTGTCCATAGCAATTAGATCCAGCAACAGATTTAAACAGTTTGTTCATCCCATGCTTGGATATGTATATTACTATGATTCATACAGATGCACCTTTTTGCTTTTATGAGTTATTTTGCTATGCTTTCTCTAATTTTTCCAGCTTAAGTGAAGGTTCCTCTGTTCAAGAAAACAAAAATACAGATTCTCTTTTTAATTTAGGTTCGGTTTTCATTTGAGTCACCTATTGATATGGCACAGATGCCCACCACCGAAAGAGTGACTTTGACAAGACGTTTCTACCTCTTCCCAGGGCATTAATATAAGTAAGTTGTATCAGTGTCAATGGACA